TCTCTCTCTCTCTCTCTCTCTCTCTCTCTCTCTCTCTCTCTCTCTCTCTCTTAAAGCCGGAGTCGGCTGGCCTTAAAGGCAGCTCTGAGGCCCACAGCCTCCCCAACATGAGCTTTGAGAATTTGATTCTTGGAGTTGTAGGAAGTTTTGGAGATTGGATATGGAGAAAATAATTCTGCTTAGCCTTTCCAGAGTTTAATTAGTGGCTGGGGAGATGGGAAAGGAGGTCTGGAAGTCCAGGAGGGAGGTCTGTTTAAGCAACAGTGCAGGCAGGGACAACCGCAGGGGTGGTCTTGACCCTTTTTAGATAGGCTCGGCTAGTGGCTGGGAGTCCACTGTAGTTCACAAACCAACTCACAGTTCCCAGCTATCCGTAGCCTTCCCAGCCCCCAGCCCCCAGCCCCCTTCTTCTCCTCTTAATCAACAGTGCCCATGCCTTTAGAGTTTCCTGTCAGGGCCTGGTAACCAGCCCAGTCTGAACCAACTCTCTCTTGTTCTTCAAACAGGACTCTTCAGAAGGAAGTGAGCTGGGCTGACCCTGTCCTGCAAAGGTCCCGGCCTATTGGATGATGAGGTTACCATCTCTCTCAGACTTCTTTTCCTAATAACCATTCGTGGCTTCTCAAATCTTAAGATTGCTACATAAGGAAAAAGATTCAAGATATGTTTCAGGAAATATTATTACAAGGCAGACATTTGAGACACTAAAATTATAAGAACACTCACCAGTGTACTCTTTCCTTAAGTACAGCCACCAGGTGTGTTGGCATGGGTTTGATTCCCCAGGACCCATGTGGTAGAAAGAGAAAACCAATCGCTAAACGTTGTCCTCTGACCACCACGTGCAGACTCACACACTCACTCACACACACACACACACACACACACACACACCCCTAACAGAAGCACCTGCGTGTAGGCATGTGCGTTTCTCTCAGGTAGACAGATAGGGGCAGAACGGCTAAGTCCAGGCAGTCTTAATAATCACTGCTGACGCTCTTCCCCCATCCCTGACTAGATCCAGGACCCTTATCACTAGACAAGGAGAACACAGCCGTAGCCATGGGGCACCCACTTCAAGGAGAGGGGGAGTCCTCATCCGGGTGCAGCCAGGAGTCTCACGATGACATCACAGAATTCACTATGAGGTCACTCCTGAAGTTCTGGGTATGAAAGTGCAGAGAGCCCTGCTCAGAGTGCATGGTTCTTTATTCAAACTGCAGTAAGGGAGCTGGAATCAATTCTAGGGGTTCACCCTGGGCCCCGGACCCCTTTGCAGCTTAGGGCTTTGAGTTGTACTTTAAGAAGCCTCAAAGATCACTGTCTCCATGACCTCGGATGTCACAGAATCAATGATGTCCAGGGCATGACCACTCTCTGTCTCCATGATGGCCTTCACATTGGTGGTCTCCAGGGTCTTGGTCACGATGTTCACATCATGGTCACGCTGTGATGCCAGACTTTTTGCAGCCAGGTTCGCTCTGATGTTCCTCAGGAACAAGCTGATTCTGCCAAGCCTCTTGTTGGTAGACACAGAGCTGGTGGTGGAGAGGGTCCTGCCTGATTTGTGGGAGCTCCGGGACTCCTTCGTGATGGGAACATGGCTGACCCCTTTGTGCGACCTGTTTCGCTTGCTTCCCCTGAGGGTGCCTTTTTCCTTCTTCTCATCCCGAGTGGATCTGCGGCTGGCTGATTTCCGAACCCCCTTGTCCCCGGCTGTCTTGCGACGACCTTCTCCTGCCCTGTGGTGACGGGAACTCCTGCTGCCAGCCCTGTCCTTTGCTCTCCGTTCCCTTCTTTCTCTCCTTTCCTTATTGGCTTCAGTGTTGCCCTCAGGGGCTTTCTGCTGTGCAGTCTGTTCAGTTTTCTGGCTTTCGCTTGGCAAGGTCAAGGCAAGAACTGCTGTGTCTGAATCAGCAAGAGCTGCTGTCTTTTTAACAGACTTGCTTATAGGTTCTATTCTTGCAATTGCCATAGCCATGTTCTCTTTTGGGGAGATGCTGGTGGATGCACTGGAAATATACTCCAGGGATTTGCTGGACGCCCCTGCCAAGGCAACCTTCATGCTTTCTGGGGACATCTTGCCAGCGCTTGCGATGGTCAAATGGCTTTTGCTTCCCCTCGCCCCAATGGTAGCACCCCCTGCTATGGCTGCGTTTATCTGCCCAGAGTCTACAGGCCTGGTTGCTGCCAAGCTCAAAGCACCTGCTAGGCCACCCGCTGCGACTGCTGCCGCCCCTGTAGCTGACTCTTTGGCAAGGTCTTTTGATTTTGTTTTGGGGATGGATACACCCTGCACAGCGGTGGGTTTGCGAGAGTTGCGACGGGGTCCCTCGCCACCAGCAAAAGCAGCCGAGCTGACCCCAGTCACATCTGTGACCACGGGGAGGCTTCTGATGCTGACCTGGTCTGGGTCTCCTTTTCCTTGGAACTCTGCTACTGCTGCATTTGGCTTGTCTTCCTCATCCAACAGAGGTATGCACACCATGTCCTCTGCTGGAATGGCGTAGGTGCTGCTGTTACTGTCCACAGGAGGTCTCAGAAGGTAGATCAATTTTTCCCAATAGGTAAAGAGGTCGTCCCGTCCCTCGAGAGGGGGGCACAACTGCAGGTAGCAAGAGCGGCCAGTGGCAAACTTGAGGCGTAGCTGCTGTTTCTCTCGGTTGTGAACAGAGAGCCTTACGAACCTCAAAGGAAGGAGCCTGGTGAGCTCCAAGGCCTTCGCAGCCTTGCGACTTTTGCCCTTGATGGTCTGGCCACGTCCAGGAAAGTCTTCACAGCCCGGGGCTGGTCGGGCCAGTAGCATGACATCAGGGAGTGGAAGGATGGGGCTGGTGCACGCGATGCCCACGGTCACCATTCGAACACGGTTATGCACGTCAATCACTTCTCCCCGTTTGGTGATCTGGATGAAGTCACTCTCGAATATCGGTGCGTACTTGAATATATCATACTCTCCTTTGTAGAGCTGTCGTTGTAGTTTCCCCATGGCAGTGTTGAACATGCCGACGCCAGAGCCGCTCTGGGCTGTGTAATATGGTAATAGAGACTCAGTCTTCGTGGTCATTTTGTGTCAAGAAAGGTGCGCTGGCAAAGTGGGTTCCCGCGTCTGTCTTAGTCTCCGCAGATGAGGGGAGCAGCGGTGCTCCTGGGTCACAGAGCTGGCACCTGCAGCAGATCTCTCAACCCCACCCCACAGGTCCCCAGTTTGCCTCAGAGCCTCCCAGAGGCCTGGGCTGGGGGTGGGAGCACAGATGATTGACAAGGGGGGGGGCTGTCAGATGCCTGGACCCCAAGCCCAATCTCTCCAAAGTGGTAGAGATGCAGGGTAGATTCCAGGGAGGTTTTCTTCTGGGTCTAAAAACCCTCCGACGTCCGCCGGGGATTGTTTTGAAAGCCCCCTGAGCATCTACCAACTGCAGCCCTAGTGGGAGAAGTGACCACTAGTGCCCGCAGCCCTGCACAGCCATACTTAGCCCCCCTCCCTTTGTGACCTGTCGCTGCCGCATCCCCTTTGTCCCCTGCTCCAGCTGCCCCACAAGAGGACAGGGCTTCAGGTGGATGCCAAAATGGGAAGGTTTCAACGTGGAAGAATTGTCTAGGAGGATTTCTTTCAAACTGGAAAGATTCAAAGCCTATGGAGATGCAAGGGACAGGTAGATTGAAGACTTCTGAGCTTCTGGGGTCGCTTTATTGGTTAACCTAGAATACTGGTCTTGATCCTCCCACAAAACCTCACTACATGTTGCTGGTGATAATCTTTCATGGCAGCTCTGGCCTTTACTAATTAAGATAAAATTAATGCTTACGCACACTGTCCTACGTATATTTCACATGTTACTGGAAGACCCGCCAACATGTAACCAACGTGTAACACTGTTGTTACTATTCTCATTTCACAGGGTAAGAAACCGAGTGTGAATTGCCTGCACCCACAAACTATGCTATTGGAATCCAGGTCTCACTGATTCTAAAACCTTTGCTTTAAACTGCTATAGGACTTTGCCTCTTGAGGGAAACTTGGGCCACTCAAATGTCTCCAAACTGATGTTTTTACTACATCATGGGAAATTGTACAATTGTGTGTGTGTGTGTGTGTGTGTGTAAGAGAGAGAGAGAGAGAGAGAGCCACTTAAGACGGTGGGTGGGCTGAAGTGGGGTGTTAAATTACCCAGTGGTTTGTCCAGTTTTGTTTTGGTGGGGTACGATTTACCCTCCTAAGGACCCCAGGTTTTGCTTCCCACTCTCCCACACTGGCCGGTGAAATGCAGAGCATAGGGCTGGGAGCTAGGACACAGAAGTCCTTAAATCCCAAGAGCCCTATCCTCCCAGCCCTGCTGCTGGGCAGAGCTTTGGAAATCTGCTTACATCGGTCATCGTGATTCTGCCTATTACCACACCCCATAGCCAGCCAGACTCAGGACTTCCAAACTGTTGTCACCGGGGAGTCTGGGAGAGTCCAGACTCTCCCAGTTGGTTTGATAAACTCTTACTCCAGACATTCGTTCCTTAAGGACAAAGGCTAGCTGTCACCCTGTGGAGGCAACACACCTGTGTACTGACTGATAGCTGAACGAGCAAAATACAGATTCTCCATACAATACACTCAGCCGTGAACAGGAATGGAATGTTGATTTATGCTTCGACATGGGTGGACCTTGACACTTTGCCAAGTGAAAGAAGCCAGACACGAAAGGCCACAGGACAGGCAAGCCTGAAGCAATGAATGGTTGAGAAGTTTGCCAAGAGCTGGAGGTGGGACCTGGGGCTGACAACTGTCTGGGTGCCAGTCAGCAGTGGCTACACAGCGTCGTGCGTGTGCACAAAGCATTTGAATGTGAAGTATTAGGGTTGTGTTTTTCCGTTCATACACATGACACTTGCACCCTTAGCACTCTTGTTCGAGACCTGTGATTTTAAGAGCATAGCCTTCCACCTCAGGTAAACTGAGGGACTCTGGGCGGCTTTGGAGCTCCCTACTCCCCCACAAGCCCAATGGAGCAATGCTTTTGGGGACCAAATGGAGAGTCTCCCCAAGTCCCTGTGCTAAAGGCACCAAGAGTCCCTGAGCTGTCAGGTGTTAGGGCCCTGCGGGGAGGGGGAAGGGGGTCCTCTGTCACTGAGGAAGTGCCTTTAAGGGAGAGAAGGGGAACCCTACTCTCGTCTTCTCTTCTGGTGGAGAAGTGATTTTAGTTCACCGCACACTCCTGCATCTGAAGAACAGGAGGTGACCAACGGGCATCAATTCCTGTGGTCCCATCTAAGTCTGTTCTCTCAGACTCCATGCCTGGCTGTTCCTTCAGAGTGAGGCAGGGGAGCGCAAAGCCTTGATGGCAAGTGTCCAGGCAGCTCGTTCTTTTTAAATATCAAAGCAGAAAACTTTCAGATTAGTTTTCTTGCAGGAATCCTCCCTCTGCCCCCCTCACTAATCCACTGCCATCCACAGCCTTGATTTCACGGCAGCACGTCTACCCACAACCAAGAGATAAGGGCAGTGCTGTTTTTCTCTCCTCCCCTCCATTAAGATACAGGTTCACTAGAGTGGTAGATGACTCTTTACTGATTAGAAGCAACCAGAAATACAACCATGCCTGTAACATGAGATAGTTTAAAAGCACTACAGAACAGTTCAAACAAGCAGGTACATAGGGCTGGCTAGCCAGCTGAGCTGGTAATAGTGTTTGCTGCCAAACTTGAGGACCTGAGTTGATCTCCAGGTCTCATGCAGTGGAAGAAAGAACCGACTCCCAGACCTCCACACAAGCTGTGGTTCACCCTACCCCACAAACCAATTAATGCAGTTTTCTAAAAATCACATTCATGGGTCTGAAGAACAGTTCAGTGATAATAGAGGAGTGGCCAGTTGTGATTCCCAGCTTGTTTTGCATATGCCCATGCAAAGTAAACCTCAGTCTATTGAGACTTAGATTCCCGTGCTGGCTTGCCAGTCAGGGAGGGCTTTGGTGCAAGGCCTGGGTTCAATCCCCAGCACTACAAATTGAAAGAGGAATGAGGAAGAGGGGGGGAAAGAGAGAGGGGAGGGGGGAGAGGGGGAGGGAAAAATCACTGGGTCAGGAAATTCCAGAAAATTAGGATTACCTTTCTTGAAACAACTTTATCCGACTTGTCAAAAATTGTCCCATCCTTTCCTGATATTTGAAGTACATACATGTGTGCTGTGTGGCACATATGGATGTTAACAGGTCTATAATACTTGTTTGAGGAGCACGGTGGCAGAAGGCAAGTTCAAGAGCCTCAAGCTGAGCCAGAGAGATGTCTTCAGCTGGTGAGTTCAGTTCCCAGGCCCCGCATGGCGGAAGGAGGAAACTGACTCCCACACACGTGCTATGGTGCACGCATGTGCCAGCCCCTCTGAAACTCAATGTAATCTGTAAAAAGGCTCAAGCTGAAAACGTGTATGTTTTAGGTATATTTGTATGTTTGAGAAACTGATGACTAAAATATCTAGCTATTTGAATTTTACATAAAAATATCTATCATAAGCCAGGCAGGGTGAAGCAGGCCTTTAAACCTAGCCTTCTGGAGGCAGAGGTAGCCCCTCTGGGAGTTCAAGGCCACCCAGGGCTACTTAGTAAGCTCCAGGCCACCCAGGGCTACAACGGTGAGACTCTCTCTCTCAAAAACAATCTTAGTGCCAGACAGTTGGTATGCAGGACACATGGAGTGCTGTTTCAGGGTTTGTTGATGAGAAACTGAGCATCAAGCAACAACCTAAGGCACAAGGTGAGAAGTCATCCCCCTGGGCTAGGTTTCTCTGAGCAACTGCACACATGTACACACCCCCCTCACAAACATACATGCATACACATACTTAAGGACCTGGGTTCCATTCCCAGCACCCACATGGTGGCTCACAGCTCTCTGCAATGCCCTCTTCTGGCCTTCTCAGGCCCTGAATGCATGCGGCACACAGACGTACATGCAGACAAACCACCCACAGACTTAAAAGAGCCCAACTGCCCTACCTGTGTTCTCCCCGTGAATGAAGTTGTCTCCAAGTGTTCAATGCTAAGCACCCCACAGCTGAATCGCTATTTCAACAGTAGAAACCAGCACAGCACTTGTTTGTCATGTCTTATTCTGATATTTATTATGTTGACAGGCTAGGAATATCAGGATAAATAAGTAATATTTTCTCTCACAGAAAAGTCATAATGATACTTCTAAGTAGGATTAGACACTCTGAGGATTTCACAGAAACGTCAGAATTTTAACAGTAGCCAGAGTCCTGGTGGCCAGAGGGAGGGGCCTCCCAGCTGAACCGCTCTGGGCCGCATCTCAAAAGCAAAAACAGTGCCATTGACAATCCCAGCACGCAGAAGCCTGGCCCTGCACCTGGCTTCCAACCCGCGTCTCCACAGGCTGTGAAAGAAAAATGGAGAATCTCTGGCTCTTCCTGTCACTGACTGGGAAGGAAAGTCCTACCCTTTGGAAGCTGGACTTTCTTTGTGCCTTCTTTCTGTGACAGTCTGCAGCCAAGGACCTGCTGTCGTGGCCAGACTCTTCCTCAGCAATGGGTACAGGGAAAGGAGGCGTCCTCTGTCAGCACAAAGTGGCACAGCTGGCCATCGGGCCAATCTCACTCCTCTGGGGCAAGCGAGCTCACATGGTCACCTGAATGCTTTCGAGGGATACTGTCCATGATGGCAGACTCCCAAACTCTCAGAAATCGGTTCTGAGGAAACTCCCGGAAAAATCATGACAAGGTTGTGGAAGACAAACACGCAAACAGCACAACACCTGGTTCTGAAACAAACGCCCTGTGCACAGTCCTTCCGGGACGCAATAGCGTTTTTTCTAGAAGCGCACCCTGGCCATTGGACGACCTCGGTAATGAGCCTTCTCGTTCCACATTCCCTAGGAAGGATGGTGTCAGCTACGGCAGAGCACGTGGTCCCACCCCACCTACTGAGGCAGACACTTCTGCATGAATCCCATTAGTGGGCATCCTGCTTGGTATGGGACCCCAGCCAGGGGCCAAGCTAGATCATCTGAGAATGGCCAGGATGGTAAGGCCTGAAGCCTGGGGTTAGTGAGCCAAAGGATGCTCTTGCCCTATGCCACAGTTCACTCTGGGACAGAGTGGGGCAACACAGTGGTCACCACAGACCCTCCTGCCCCAACGGCTCTCGGCTGCTGAGATTCTAGAAGTGCATAGGAAGCCAGTTTTCCAATGGCTTCAGGGTTTGGGGTGGAAAAGGAGGATTCGGTAAGGACTCCCCAGTTGCCCCCACGATGCTGCTGTTTAGCTCTGCAATGTCCCTTCTTTTATCTGCTGGATAAAGAGGTTCCTCTCGTCTTCCGGAGTTCGCCCATTCTGAGCCCGGACAATACACGTGGGCCGATGCAGGTTGAGCATGTATATCAAGTGCTGTTTCTCATTTTTCAACTCCTCAATCTGGGCCTTCAGCTCAGCGTTGACACTCTCCAGTTTCTCTGACTCCTGAGGGACAATCAACAGAAGTGTTATGGAGGGAACCGACGTCGGGGAGGGAAGGGGGACCACCTGGAAACCATGGGGCTCATCAAGATGGGGGAGGCCTGCTGGGGGAATCATCCTAGTCAGAACTAGGCGTGGGGGGCTGTTGATGTGGACCCTGGAGAGACCTCTGAAATTAGGGGGCATGCCAGAAGAGGCTTGGGGATACCAGTGAGCAAGGCTGCCATGCTTGCTGAAACTGCCTTAGAACCAAGGACTTAGACAGGGCTGTGTTCCAGTCCTCTGCCAAGAGTATCTGGTCCCCAGAGGGTCTGGAAAGCTGGGGAGAAATCCAAACTGGTGGTGTAGCATTTTCTCTGAATTTCTGGTCTCACCAAGACTCTCATACCCACAGAAGTGTACTCAGAAACACAAAACTTGCCAGGTTTTCACTGACCCTAAAGCAACAAGCAGAGATCCCAGGACTACTGAGGTTGGCTTGTCTCTGCCAGAAGCTGGCCTGCACACACTCGGGGGAGCAAACTGGCCATGGTGAAGACTTCCAGGCTCTGGGGCCTGCCTTGCCTGTGAACCCGCGCTGTACCCCCGGTGTTTCTAGTGAGGTGACAATCTGTTGGGGTGTTCAAAGTGCTGGGCAGGCAGAGTAGGGAAGCAGGGTTCAGAACCAGGCCAAAACACAGTGTTAGTTCTGCTTCAAGATTACCAGAGCAAGCTGGGGAATAATAAAAGCTTTCCTTGAGAGTCAATGGCTGGAGCAGGGTTTTATTGTTTTATTTGGCAAAATTAGCAAATTTCTCTTTAACCTGAAAGTCTAAAAAAGTCTGGGGTATCTGGACCAGCTGTGCCACAGCAGGCCTGTGGAGACCAGAGGACAATGTTCAGAAGTCAATCCTCTCCTTCCGCAGTGGGTTCTGGGTATCAAACCCAGGTTGCCAGACTTGCACGGTGCTAGCCCCCCGATACTGAAGTTTTTAAACCCACAAATCTTCATTCTATATATCCAAAGTCCCCTCCATCATGCTAACAGCTTTGCTCCTTCCCCTGCCTACAGTTGGCATTTCTACACCACCCACAGCTCCCCTCTGCCAATGACACAAGGCTGGTGAGGACAGGTTTGGGCACCGAGCAGGGGGAAACTTGGCCAATACTCACTTTCTGCAGGCACTCCGTCTTCTCTTTTTTCTTGTTTCGACACTTGGCAGCTGCAATCTTATTTCTTTCCCGCCGCCTCCTTTTCCGCTCATCTTCTTCAGGGGCCACCTATGGAACCCAAAAGGCACATGGAAGCCACTGTGAAGCCAAAATATCAAGGCGGTATTTTTTTGTTTGTTTGTTTGGGACTTTTTGTTTGTTTTTAATCACTTATGTGAATGTATATCTATGTTTGTCTGTGCATACATCAACCACATGCGTGCATTCATGGTGTCTTCAGAGGCCAGAAGAGAGTACAAGTTCTCCACCATACACGGAACTTCCTCAGTGAGGCTGGGGGGAATGGGGTGCTGGGAACGTCAGTCCTCTGGAAGAGCAGCAAGTGCTCTTAACCACTGAGCCATCTCTCCAGCCTCATGGCCTAGATTTTTGTGTGAACTCCCTACACACACGTGTGCACACACACTTGAGAATAACAAAATCTAAAATCAAAACTCTATCCATTAAAAGAGAATTACATTTGAAATTCGCAAAATCTAACCTACTTTAAAAATGCATTTGGATTTTGAGATAAAGATTTTAATTTTAAATTGATAACTTGATACTAATTATAAGTGTGTCCGTCCTTTCTTTCCCCTGGGGCCAGGCATGGCTACCAGGGTGGGAGGTACAGCAGAGGAGGTGGGAGACATGGCTGGCGGAGGTGGGTCGCGGCACAAGGAAGGGAGGGTGGAGTCCTGCTCCACTTCTATCTGAGCTTTGCTCCTAGAGCCACAGCAATGCTCACACGCTCTCCACTACGCACGGAACTCCCCGAGCCGCCATGTCTTCCCTGTGGGATGGACTGTGTCTGTCCCCTGAACTGTGAGCCCAGCACACTTCTCCAAGTGACATCTGTCAGTCATTCAGTCGCAGTGACAGGAAATAACCGACATTACTGTCTCTGTACCGGGAGCATCAAGGCAACCCTTCCCATGAAGCCTCTGAGCTCCTGGAGAAGACTGGAGGGCCTTGCTGGTGCTAAAATGGTATGAGTAAGCCCACAGTTGCGGGTGGAGGTAGAGTACCAAACCACCTGTTGATTCAGCCAGAAAAATCACACTGATTTCCTGTGCCTCATTCTGAGTCAATACCAGGGCTTTGAGAGAACAGAGCCCTGTCCATCCTTAGGGAGCATGGTCCCTCCTTGGATGTCCACCCAGACCCAACTAAGTCTATGGACTGATGAGCAAGGGCCACATCCAACCTCTGAATTCTGCTTAAGGCCAAAGTCCAGCAGGGATGAACTTTCATTGTGGGCTGGTCAATGTCAGACCCTGTCAGCTTTAGGAGGCCATGACTGACCCCACTCCTGACTTTTTCCTGTTCTTTCGGATCAGAAGATACTGACTGTGGACGTAGATGAAGATCTTGCAACCTAGAGAAGCAACGCTCAAGGAAGAATAGTGAAAGAGGAATTTCTATCTTTCATGTCTCAGGGCCACAGACCCAGTAAATATAAAAACCATGTGCACACATATGCACACACGCATGCACACACTGGTGGGTGTGCAGAGAGACAGCTCAGTGGTTAAGAGGACTTGCTGCTCTCACAGAGAATTTGGGTTTGGTTCTCAGCACTTACATGGTGGCTCACAACAATAATTCTGGTTCCAGAGGAACCAACCCTCTTCTGCCTCCATGGGCACCAGGCATGTACACAGCGCAATACATTCTTGCAGACAACACACACACACACACACACACACACACACACACACACGAAATATGAATAAAAATTTAAAACCAAGAATAAATCATGGAAACAAAAAAAACCCATAGAAAAGAATTTTACTGGAAATATGGTAAAGTTGAAACTACTTTAAAAATTATTTGGATTTTGAAGTAAGATTTTGATATTTAAATTGATAGCTGTAATTGAGAACTGGAAAAAAAGACTATTTTATAAACCTGCCCTTTCCCCTAGAGTCCGGAGTGGCCTGGGAGCATCCATCCCTTCTTTATCACTCTTCCTCCTCCTCAGTCCGTCCGCCTGTCTGTCCAGCCTCCCTTCTCCATTTTTTCCTATGACTGTATCTTGTTATTTCAAACTATATTAGAAGAAAAAAAAACCTCATAGAATGTCCCAGGCTCTAACTTGCACTATCGAAGACTGGACTTGATACCTGTGGCTATTTTGTGGTGTCCTCTCTGACCTCCCCTGAGTTAGCTGGGAGCACAGTTAATACTTCAATGGCATCCATGGCAACAGCATCATAAATAATGCTGTTCCCATTCGTTGGATGCTGTGAGCCAGGTTCCCCTCAGACCTTCCACAAATGTCAGTCCTTGGCAGGAAAACCCAGTCTTTTGCCCCCAGAGCGAGGGATCAAACCCAAACCCAAGGTCTTATGGTCACGGTTGAGCTATGACCCCTTCCTTAGCCTCCTTTCGAACGCGCGGCTTTTGAGCCAGTTTCTGCCCTTTGCCCCAGGGCTGCGGTCACGCAGGTTAAGTAAGCCTGAAATATTCCCAACCGAGCAAGGCTAACGAAGTCACCAGAGTTCATCTCTGACGTTCTTGACGCAGCACAGTCACCAGCAACCACGGTTCAATGGCCACGTCTGTTACCCCAGGTGTCTTATGGGACGGTTTCTCAACACAGAACAGTTCATGTGTGTGAGTGGGTGTGAGTGGGTGTGAGTCCGTGGCAAACATCTGATATGCCGTCTGTGAGTGGTGTTGCCAGGAAGGGCAGGGCTAACCTCCTGGTCCTTGGGTCCCGGAGGAGATGAAAGCCACCATCATGCCCCACTTCTCCAGAAGTCTTCACACAGAAAGGGCCACCCATAGCTTGACGATTCCCAGTTCTGTGTCTCTGGCCCTGTCCTTCCTGGTGGATATCTTCCGAGGATTCAGCTTCTACTCTCGCCCTACCTGGCCTCCCACAGTCCCAAGTCCTGACCCACGTTAGATCCAGAAGCCATTCCATTTCAGCACTAGCCTAGCCTGGACCTTCACCTGCCTGCAGGGAGGGCCGCTCAGGGAGTGCCCTTCCCACAGGACTCCCTCTCCTCAAGTCCCAGCTCAAAGGCCATCCCTGGTCTCCTAATTTAAAATGACAACTTTACCTCTACTTATTCTCTGAACCCCTTTATTTATTAAGAAAAAAAAATAGTTTTATTGTATGTGTTTGAGCCTTTGCCTGCATGTGTGTTCACATTTGTGCAGTTGCTTGCTTCTCTCTGTCCCCCACTTCAGTTATTTTTTAAAAAAGGATTTATTTTTTATTATGCACGTATTAGTGTTTGTGTGCATTTATGTATGTGTGACATATATAAATTGTTGTGCAGTTGCCTGCAGAGGCCAGAAGAGGATATTGGAGTCCCTGAAGCTGGAGTTACACACAAGAGTGAGCCACCATGTATGTGGTTCCTGGGAATTGAACCCGTGTCCTCTGCAGGAGCAGCAAGTGCTCTTAACTGCTGAGTCATCCCTTTGTGCATGCCTCTCAATCTATTTGCTTACTAATTCTCTCTCTCTCTCTCAAGAGAGTCTTGATGTGTCTCAGAGTGATCTCAAACTCACCTCTCTCTTGATCCTCCTGTTCTGTGTCTGGTTCACACCCACACCCACACCACACCACACTCTATCTGCTCATTCGTGTATTCTAGCCATTATTCCATTATCTTTAGACATTAGAATGTAAGCTCCCCAGGGGCGGTGCCTTTGTTGATTTTTACCCCTGGCTCTAGCCTCCTGCATGTGCCCACACATGGAGTGTGTGTGATAAACGTGTGCTGAAAGGAAGGACATGAGCTGGCAGAACGCACCTCAGCTTTGGTGACTGCAAGCTCCAGGGGTCTGTTGTTGATGGTCACTGACTCCAGCGCAGAGGGCATCCGGTGGCAGAGGTGCTTATTCTGGATGGCGAACCTCAGCTCTTCCTTGACAAAGGGTGTCAGGTTAGCAAAATCCTCAAATACCAGTGACCCGGGAGGCGAGAGGCAGGGGACAATGGCGGATGCACTGACTTCTGAGGCAGAGACCTGGCCTGGATGTTGAAGCATCATTTTGCTGAAAGAAAAAAAATTAAGCCCAAACTACTTCAGGGGTCCTGGGGAATGGGATCCAACCACGCTGAAGAACAGCCCACCCCAGAACAAAGTCCCATCAGCCCTTGGGCTTCTGGCTTATTTTCATTTCATGCCCATCTCTTGCCTGTGGCTGGAGAAAAGACAGGAACATATTTACCACTGTTTTGCTAAGTGACATGCTGTCAAACTGCCTCTTAAGTATTTATGTCCATACGCAGAAACTAGTGCTGTCCTCAACCTCGGTCAGCTTCTTTTGGCAGCGGTTAATGCAGAGAGTCATAGCTGGGCAAAAGTGTGTTTTCTCTCTCTCTCTCTCTCTCTCTCTCTCTCTCTCACACACACACACACACACACACACACACCCGTGTTCACGGCGGCTCAGGGAACAACAAGGGGGCTAAAAGGATGTAGAAGCAGGAAGATGGGGAGAGAGCTGTGAATGCCGCTTTCTGAACAGGACATGGCTGCTCCACTCAGCCTGCAGAGGACCCGTGTAAGACTGAGCCTATCAACATTGCAGCATGTATTAGGGAGGGCAGCTTGAGTCCCAGCCCTAACCTAGGAGCTACAGCAGTGCACCCCTGCTGGTGAAAGGGGCCACTTTATTCAGTAGTGTAGCCACAGATCAGTTGCCCTTGTTCCCAAAACTATCCCGATACCCATGCTCATGCGAGCAATGCTAACTAAAGCCCACAGACCACCAAAAAGTTGTTTTTGTTTTTTGTTTTTTTACATGCTGTCCTCATCGTGAGTAAAAGATTCTTAAAACACGCAGCTCAAAGATGACCAAAAGTTTGAGGGTTGACTTCTCAGGCTCTTCTATTAGTTTGGCTTGTATGCAGATTATGCAAATGTGGCATCAGTCTCCCCCCCTCCCCCAAAAGAAAAAACATTAGAAAACAAAAAACCAGTGCCGTCTGAAGTCCCGTTTTCAGTCTCTTTTTCAAAAAGAAACTGGGAAGACTCGTGAAATCAAGGCAAATCTGCTAGGGAGCTGAGATAAAAGCGGGAAGTTGGGGGCCTTAAATTCCACGACTCTGTGCCGGAAGTTTCTCCCGCAGGAAGCTGGGTGTGTTTCTTCACCTCAGTCCTTGGCAGGGGGTGGTAATGGCGGGAACTCAGTTCCTTCAGGAACAAGAAGCCCCTTCTTAATGAGAAGGCTGGCAAAGCAAAGGACTTCAGGGCAAGCCAAAGCAAGAGGGGGAAGACCTGCGTCTATGGGGTGCTGCTTAGCTCTAAGGTACAAGGAGAGAGGCTTGAAGTAGGGGCAGAGGGGACCTGGGATGGGCCTGGTCACAAAGGAGCAGCAGGTCATTCAGCTCTGTGAGACTCAGTCTTCATCTGGAAATTGGCTGAGAACTCTCCGGAGTCAGCAAACCACTGCTAATGCTCCGTCCCACAGCCAGGCTCAGCAGAGGCCCACGCTGACCGCTGGCCAGCTGGACAACTGAATAAACAAGGTGGGGACGAGGTGGCCGTACCAAAGGCCTCATCGTTCTATAGGCCAGCAAATCCACAAGCGCACCAAAGGAAAGCTGCAAGGACTCACGCAGCTGCGACTCCCACCCTTCCCGAAACAGGAGCAGGGATAGAGTGGCTGTATTCACTACAGTGGTCACCAGCCAAGTCCCAGAGGGCAGGATGGCAAACCTCTACCATTATAGGAAAAAAATCTATATATCTTGTCTCTTTTGAGCCTTGTGAGAACCCGGTGCTGTAAAACCTGGTTACATTTTATACATGAGTTAACCGAGATTTAAACAGATCACATTAACAAGGGATAGTATCAGGCACCGGGATTTGGTTTGCTTGACTTCAGAACTCATGGCCTTAATTTATACGCTGCATACCCAAATATTATACTTCATTGAACAAAAACAACAACAAAAACAGAGCAAAAGTTTGTGAGGGAGTGGAAGCAGACAGGAAGACACAGACTCGGCTACTGCCTACATCCAGGTGTAAGTTTAAATGGGCTATTTTAGCCATAAAATTCCCAAACTAGGAGTTAAAAAAAAAAAACCAAGATTTGAAGACCACTTAGTAATATATTGTGACTGTACCGCCCAGTGGTTTCTTTCTCCAGCCCAAAGGTAGGCTGATAACAAGTACCCTGTTTCCCCAAGAGTGGTTTGAGGGGCTTAGGAAATAATACAAGATGGTGCCTTGGAAACTATGCCACCAGGAGCTACGCTGGGTCTCTCAGGATCCCGCACAAAGGGCTGGCTGCTCTCCAGTGGAGACTTGGTGGGGTCTGCTCACCTTTGATGCTTAAAGCTCCTCCTGAGGGTCCCTGTCCCTAGAGGTCTAAGGTCCATGAGTGGAGGTAGAAATTCCAGACCAGCAAATACTGCCCTCCACAAGTCAGAAGAACTCAAGAAATGCATACGATTCTCTCCCAAGCAGCAGGCCTGAGAACTGAAGGTCCTCTTCACGGAATCCTGGAATCTTGTGACTGGGGGCTGTTTCTCTGGCTTCTGAAGTCAGAGGCTCAACATCCTCCCAAGCATCCTCATTTCCTCATCCTTTCCAATTTTACTCAAAACAACACAAAACAACCAGTTAAGGGATGGGATTCAGAGCTGCCGCTGGCCTGGCCTTCAGTTGCATGACTAGATGGGTCATCACAGCAGTTGAGTTTCTTAGTGAACCCTTGGGGCTTAAGAGTAAAGACAGGAAGAAACCAAGGAATGTCAGTGGTATGGAATGTTTTTGTGAAAAGCTGGGGGTGGGGCTTACTTGGGGACACAAGCATGTTGTAAAGCTGTAAGAAAGCCTTTCTGATAACCAAGTGGTTTCATCTGTAAAGATCTGGTCATCGTGTACAGTTGTCTCCCGAGATTCAGCCTAGAGTCATGCTGTGTCCTCCAGGAAAACAGTCTGAAACTTCAGCTAATTTCAGGAGTGAAAGCCCTCTCACACACCCTGCATCTGAGAGGGGAGAGTCTGGGGGCTTTGGGTGAGCTGAGTTAACTCTCTAGACCCGATCATAAATCTTTTTGCTTCAGGACTCACATCCTGCTTCATGACTTCCAATCAGAAATCATGTCATACCATTGGCAATTTCATCATTTTCAAGAAAGTGAAACTTATTTAACTGGAAATCTAACTCCTAAAATTTTGTCTCCAAGGCTTTGAAATTTCACTTTTGATTTCCACTTCCTTCCACTGAGCCATCTGCCAGCCAAACCTGCAGTAGTTGGGAGAAGGTAGCCGCCTTTCCCTGACTCTCCACATCCTGTTCTTTCTCCTGTTCGCAGGCTGGAGGTGCAAGGCTGGGCTTCAGGGGCAGCTGACTGTCTCCAGGTCTGTGTCTGCTACTCACTAGCTGAGCACCCACTCAGGAGCCAGAGGCTCTCTGACCTTCAGTTCCTATCTGAAAATTGTGACTGAGGTTGCCAGTTCCCTCCCTGGGCTGCGGGAAAGAACTCATCACACACACACTTGAAAACACAAGAGGCTGACACCCATACAAGCATTCTGACTCCACCTCACCCCCCCCTTCGGGGAAGCTGATTTGGTCATCAATTCGCTTTAGTTCTGATCATCAGGAACGAACTGGAACCCTCGAGAATTTCAGGTCAGCTTGCCACAACTGCTCTACTGTCCTGAGACTTCCACTCCACTGTTTGCTGACATCAGCACTTCTCCATAACTGTTGCGTTCTTCAGAAATTGTGAGTTTCCACAGAAGAAACCATTTTTCTCCTGAAGTTTCTGTGGTGTCCTGGCTATGTCCCTCCTTCCTTGGCTGGGTTAGCCTGGAGCCAGTTCCTTAAGAAATCACAGGCTCTGGCTAAAAGTGCCCAGCCTTAGAAAGGTCTGGGTCAGATCCTTATTTTGTTATTTAGTAAACTGGAGTCCAGGAAGGAAAGCAACTTGCCTAAGCTGGAGGGTTGTCCGGTCCAGCCAAGCTGCTGAAGCCACCCCTCTGCACAACCACGAGGGCCCATCAGTTCAAGAAAGAAACCACAGGCAGAGCTGCCAGCCAGGTAGCAGCTGAGGGCTCAAGAGTTTCATATCACGAGGAGGCTTTGACAGAATAAAGATAGGAAGGGGTCACAAAAGAAACCGGTGTGGAGAAGGGATTTGGATAGCCGCAAATGTAGGACGGTCGTCTCCACCTCATCAGCAACCTCTGAAACCTCAGAAACAACCGCAACCGCTGCCCCCAAGGCAAGAGCCTGTATGTGGAAACATTATCCCACAACAAATGCTACATGCAAAACATGTGCTCTCCTGGTGACACATGCCTGTAATCCCAGCACTTGGGAACTGAGGCTGGAGGATTGCCATGAGTTTGAAGCAAGCTTGGGTTACACAGGGAGACCCTGTCTCAAAAAAGTCAAACAAAGTGAAGGGCAGAATAAAACTTTTAAGTGATTGGGCTTGGCAACTCCTTTGATTTATAAGGAAGCCTGAGATCTACATTAATGAAATTAAGGAAAATAAAGTGGCTAGGAGGAAAATTTAAAAATGGGAGTTGAAAATGAGAGTGGGGTCAGAGCAGAGAACCCACTAAGGGGAGAAAAACAGGAGACAGGATGGAGAGTGAAGCCCCTTCCCTTCCGGTCTCGAGGACACGGGATGGAGAGCCACCCTCTCGCGCAAGACCCCTTCCTGGCGCTTTTTATTTCGTCTGTTTCACTCTAAAAACTGAAAACTTTTCGCCAAAACCTGGCCATGTAAACCACACAGCACAGGGCTCCAGCACAGGTAGAGAGGTGACCTGTCATCTTAGCACTTGGGAAGTTGAGGCAGGAGGATCACCAGGAGTTTAAGGACAGACTGGGTTACAGGGTGAGACTGTCTCAAGAATACAAAACAATAACTCCCAATACACGCGCGCGCGCGCGCGCGCGCACACACACACACACACAATTTGTCAAGTCAAGTAGTTCCACTACCTGGTCCCTCCACCTGTTCGATCCGGTCTCCGCGGTTCTCTTCGATTACACAAAGCAAAGAAATCCAAGAACCGGTTAAAAGAAAGTCAGAGCCACAGAGAGTCAAAACAGCGAGAGAGGTTGGAGCCGATGTCCCAAATCCTACCGCTCGCCGCTGGACTTCAGCGGGTGCCGAGACCTCTCCGGAGTCCGCCCTGGGACAGCGCGACACCGGCGTTCACCGCCTAAATTAATCCCAACTCACTTTCGCTCAAACTCTCTACACTGTCCTGCCGCCTAGAGCTCTGCTCCAGGGAGCGCAAGGCGACCTCCAGCGGCTGTGCCGGGACCTCGAACCGAGCGTCCCTTCCCCATTCATTTCGCTCGGTACTGGGAGCGGCGCTCTCACCAGCCGCGGCCACCGTGCCTCTCGGTGGATTTAGAGGAAACCCGCTCCGCCTCCGACGTCCGGACACCAAGTGAGGGACGGAGTGGATCGCGATCCAGAGCGTGGGTCACCCCTGAGCACCAGCACCCACCACCCGCCACCACCCAGACGACCTCTCCTAGCTGCAGGCTGAGAGCGCGCAATCTCCTCAGTCCGCGGGCATCCTTCACGCCTCAGAAGAGAAGTTCGTTCTTTCACTTTTCTAGAAACTTTGCCCCAGCTCGGAGCGGCAGCGCCAAGGAGCAGTTGAGCGGAGCGAGTGTGGCGCGGGAGATTAGGACTCGAGTCCCGGGTGGCTCAGGGGTCCCGGGACTGGTCACCAGAGGGGAGATGAGAAGGGGAGGGCGGCTCTCCACCGCGTGGTTCTAATACTCACCTCCAGTCTCCGTTCGGGGCGGCCAGGGTCCAGAGAGCGGCCAGAGGCGGGCGGTTTGTCCCGCCGACGGGCGAGCACCAAGGACTCTGCTGGAGCGCGGGCTGGCCGGCAAGCTCCGCGGGGGAAGCACCGTGCCCAGCGAGCCTCGCTGAGTGAGACTGTGGCTGGGAGCGTGTTGCATCACCCCTTTTATAGCCCTCGCCCTGGCAAGGGTAGCTTAACTCCAGGCTGACGTAATGCTATTAATAGCTTCCAGGGAGAGCCGGCCAGAGGAGGGGTAGAGGAGGCCGAGGGCGGGGCTAAGGGTAGGTGGAGACCGCGAAGTTGGTGATGCAAGTGCGAGAAGGGGCGGTCACCGAGCGTCCAGCGCGCCTTGCATGCTCGGGACACACACACACGCCCGCCCTCTCTCTCCATATCAGGCCCGGAGTCGCCCGGGCGCACCGCCAGGTGTGCGTATTCGCCGCTGCGTGTTCCAGGCATGAGCCAATGGTGCCCAAGCCAGCGGCATGACTCCACCGCCCTGGCATCTCTCCCTCCGCTAGGTTGGGGAATGGGGGAAGGGGTGCTCGGGAGGCGGAACCTGGCGGTGGCCCAGACTAGGTAAGGCTGGGAAGCGGGCACGACCTTTCTCAAAAATGCGTGGTCATTTTTTCTAAAACTTCAGGAAAAAGCGCCTTCTCTGGCCAGCGGCTTTGCTCATGGAGGGGGTAGGGAAGAGGCAGCGGTGACAATCTCCCGCGTGAAGAAGGTGCCCAAAGTTACCCTCCGATGAATCCAAATCGTTACCCGCCAGTGTGACCTCCGCCGCCACGCGCCCCAATAGTAGCCGTGGGTTAACGCAGACTTTCGGCCGGTCTCTTTCTCCCACGCCCGCGGCGGGGGCCTCCGGACTCGCTAGGAACTGGAGATGCTAGTGATAAGACGCTGTCAGTTTGGTTTTAGGTTTTTAATAACAACCACAAAACATTTGAAATGAACAGGGAATTCTCGGCGAAAGCAAGAGTGTAGAAAGAGGAAAAGTCTGGAGCGATCAGAGGCCACCGAGCGCAAGCCTAAGAAGGGCTGCGGAAAAGACCGCTCAGGGAGTCCAGGCAATAGGACGCTTTGATCTCCACGCTCCTGGCCTTGGCGGAGGTGGGGGGGGGGGGTTCGCCTGGATGTCAAAAAATATTTAGTGAAAACCGTCTCCAGGTTTCCAGTGTCTGTCTGCAGGAACAGACAGCTGTGCTGGAACCTGGCCGCCCGGACTGAACACGTTCCACTTAAAGTCTGAACGTGGGGCCCTCTGTCCTCAAATCTGGTGGCGGGAAAGACTGGAAGTAGGGTTCAAGCCAAGGCCTCAGCAGAACTGGGTTTGAACCTTGAAAACAGTTTCCTGGTTCTGATCCATTAATTCCAACGGTCTCGACTGAGCGCAAGACCCCGGGAGGGTCTCCATAGCTCATTAAGGGCTAAAAGTGCGCACGAATGCGGCCCGGGACTCGCACACCTGCCCGGGAAGCCTTCGGGCGCACAAGTGGGGCAGGACGCCGGAATGTAAAGACCGGGGCACCTGCTAACACCTGCCTTTGAGGGGAAGGCGAGCAGAAAGTCACAGAGCGGTAGTTTGGGGTAAGAAGCGGAACTGTCCCGGTTCCGCAGCCCTGAAGCACCTGCCACCTAAACTGTTACGATCCTAAGGGAAGGTCTCAGTCTCTCTCAGTCTCTCTCTCTCTCTCTCTCTCTCTCTCTCTCTCTCTCTCTCTCTCTCTCACACACACACACACACACACACACACACACCGGCATTACACCTTAAGGAAATGATGTCCCTTGAGACAGACACTTGGGGCACAATCAAGTTCTATGTACACGGGTTCCCCCAGTCCAAGCCAGAGCCTCGCCCTTTACAGGCCCCTGCCCTCCAGGGAGGCCCCTGAAGTCTCTCCGCCCCCGCCAGCCGGGGAAGCCTGAGGTGGTTCCATCCCGGGGATCCTCGTAGATCCTGCCAGGATCTGACGCGATTGCAGTAGCGTCGCGCGGGAAGCGCCGGGCGGGTGTTTTGCTTTGGTTTTTGCCTTGGTAACGGCTCTCGGGGCCACACCCTCCATCTCCCACGCCCACGCCCTGCTCCACACCTCCACGGCCCGCCCTTCTGCCGACCTGCAGGCAGGTAAACCCCGGACGTGTCTGCACAACACCGAAGAATGCCAGGTGCCTAGAAATGAAAGTCGTTTTGGCTCTCCACTTACCTGTCCCATCTTCGTACAGGCTGCCCTGGAATAAACACCACCACTGTACAGTGAGACAAGGAGTTAGGGGGAAACACATGAAGCTCCTCCCTCAGCTGCTGTGAACCCCTACAGAAATCTTTAATTGTTTTACATATTAAACTACGGTGCCATTAATACCCGACCCAGATCTGCAGAGGTCGGTCCTGTCCGAGGGTCTTAAGAACCCAAGCAGCGAGACCAGCGCCCTAGGAACTGTGGCGGTGTCGTGGACAGACACTCCACCGCCGTCTTTTTTCTATTCTAATCATTAGCTTTCCATCTCCAAGTCGCACCTGGATAGAAACACTCTCTATCCAGAGAGTGTTTACAGAGCTCTGAGTCTGCCATCCTCCGCCTCCCTCTCCAACTGAAATTCTAAAAGCTATCAGAATCTCCAGGGAGAAGTCCGCTCCCCACCTCCAACTTGAATGAAACGCCTATCCTGGGCAAACAAAAGCCACTTTCTGCCTGTCTCGGTCCTCTAGGCTCCCAGGAGAATCGTAAGCGTCTGAGAAAAACGGAAAGGAAGAGCCCCTAAGATCTGGGTCAAAGGAAGTCGTCAATATAGGAGTGCCCTCGCGCCTCAGTTTACCCTGACTAGTGTCTAGCGCGCGCACTCTCCCCTAAGCACGGGTAGCACCACGCAGAGGGGCAAGAAAAGCTCTGGCACCCAAATCGCTTCCTGACACAAAGGCAAAGGAATGCTTCACCGGTTGGAGCAGTAAACCTTGGGTAGCGTGGTTTCACGGGTTAATCCTCAGTCAAAGAGGGTTACCCGGAAGCTTGAATGTTGTGGACCAGAAAACCGCCCGGGGAGCTCGTATGCAAATCAACCCCGGTCTGTTTTGCTGAGTGAGATAAGAATTGGAGATTTCATGCTGGAGCATGTACCAAAGGAAGAAGGAAAATTAAAAGGGGAGGGGAAGAAGCCAGGCAGCTAAAAACAGTCCCCTCGTGGCAACCAAAACTAAACACAAAAACATTGCAAGGAGCCAAAAGCAGAAAAGGAAAAGTTCAGAGATATTTAAAGGTTTTTGCAGTTCAGTGGGCGATCCCTTTCCACATTCCTCTGCCTCCATAACTGTTCTTCAGACTCTGAGGCTGGCTGTGTTTGCTCAGAGAACTCTAGAAAGAAGTTCATGCATCTAGGACAGATTGAGATGACGGCTGGCCTGTCTGTGCGCAGGTCTTGACCCCAACTCTTCACCCTGAAAAGGAGAGGGGTAGATTTTTTTCCAAGCCCGTGCTCTTGGCCAAGTTGAATGTGGGAACTACCAATTTAAGTCTCTAAAAGTTCATCCTCATGAAAAGAGGCAGCTCACAGTGGGTGCTGAAGTGTGGGAGGCCCTGGTTGGATTGTGGAAGCTGCACTTGGCAGTCACGTCCCCCTGGGTTGTCCCACTCATTTTGTCTCCAGGTTTAAATGTCCCCCTCGCTGAATAAAAAAGACCCACTGAGAATGAAGGACACAATTAGAGTCTTTAACTGTGGATCAGGAAGGCTTTCTGGGGTACCCTCTGTCCCCTTCATCAGTGAGAAGCTGAGGGTGATATCTGGCAACGCCCAGGATGATAATCATGAAAGGGGGGCTTTGGATGAGATCCCCCTTCCCCAAAAACAGCAGGAGTAAGCCTTGTCTCCCCCACCCCCATCCCTTCCCCCTACAACTAATCAGAGACTGATGATGGATGATGGTGGCAAAACACCCTGGGCTGGCCGGGGCTGGCCTGGGCCGGGTCAGCCTGGGCTGGGGACTCCAATGCCCTCTCTAGTTCTGCCTTTTTACTCTTGAGAAAGGTAGGCCCTCTTTTGGGGTTTCCACGTTTTTGTTCCTAGGCTGGACTAGGAGGGTCCTGAATGGAGACTCTCCTCCCCAAAGTCACCCAACTGCCTTGCAGACTTCCGAGGGTCATAACAGCTGCTGTTGCACGGAACAGAGACTAACCCATTTTATAGTCCCGCTTCTCTAGAAAGATGGCCAAGATGTGATATTAGATCTGTTTCTCAGACAGCCTACCCTCTCTTGCCCGCTTCACTTTCAACGTTTCTAAAATCTTCATTCATGTGGGTGGGTACCCAGCCAGAGGGGCACTCACCATAGCAGGGAGGCAGGGATTGCATCTTTTGAGGGCATCGTGTATATAGACATGAACTTTGGACCACAGGGTCAAATCTAGGTAGTAACTATTCTCACTTAAAAGAAACCAATCCTAGGACCCTAGAAACCTGAGATGAAGTCACAGACGCTCCAGTGTTAGCAGGACATAATAGGTCTGAGGACTGCCCCCAGGTTGATCGGCAGCAATTGGGCGACTCTGCAGGCCATAAACATACAACCTCAGCTTGCCAGTCCACAAAATGATTATTTAACATGAACCCCCCTGAAAGCATTGGTATAAAAATCAGATGATAGAGTAGATGTGAAAGTGGG